TCCATGGTAATTTCCCATTCTTACCAATACCCATATCGCTGGTTGCTGCTACAACAACTTGGTAAGTTCTCTGTGGATCTGGCTGTGTGCCAAAATTTCCATCAGGAACATTTGCCACAGTGTCTGCCGCCATCACTGCACTCAAACCTTGGGATAAACCTAACAATGATGGCGTGAAGTGAAAACTAAACTGCCAACTTTTGTGGACGGGCAGCACGACCTGAAATCAGCAACACGCTTTACTTTAAAGCAGAAAAGAGATATCATATTTTTTTCCTTGAAAATTGAAGACATGCACCACAACAAAGCAAATGAAAATAAAAAGAACAATGAATCATAAATAGAGACTTATAATATCTGAGATGTAAAAAGAATTTTACTAAAGAGACGTAGACTTAAATGGTAACTCCCCATTATTGGAAAACTCTGGAAATCCTATGAAATATTTGATTAAGTTTAGCAGACACGTCACCATATAACTCTAATGAAATAAGAGCTTCCAATCATGCTTCCGGTTTGGCTATCCAAAACTAAAGCAGCTGGAACTTCCAAAAAGGTTCAAATGAAAAAAGAAAGAACAACCAATCAAAAATTGAGACTTAAAAGCTCCGAAACGTAAAAGGAATGTCGCTAAAGATATGTAGACTTTAATGCTAACGCCCCATTATTTAGTGGACAAAACACCAGATAACTCCAATGAAATAAGGACTTTCAACCATGCTGCCGGTTTAGCTATCCAAAACTAAAGCAGCTGAAACTTCCAAAAAAATTAAATAAAAGAGGATATTACGCCTCGAGCTTCTGATCTTGACGGTTTACCAATATACACTCACTGCTATGTTGAACAAAACTGTGTTAAAGTACAAATGAGTATACTTACCTCAACTAGATGTCTCCTTGTCACCAGAATTAAGAATTCAATCTCACCTCCTCTTTTACTGTTTTACTCTCCTCTAGTTTTTATCAATCATACATTTCCTGCATGGCCTTAAAGTTGTGAATTGCAACTCTGGAATTCGCAACTATTTCTTTAGTAAAAGAAGAGCCCCTCCCTTCGTCCACTCCCAATCCACCGATCAACACGAGTTACAGAACAAGACTAAAATGAACTTTTACTCTCTGTTCGATCTTCTTATTCAATTTTTTTTTAAAAATAATCTTCTTATTTAATTTACTTGTCACCAAAAGATGGAAATAGAATATAAAGCCGAAAAAGTTTGGCGAATGAACAAAACTGACCCGAGCAAATTGTCAAAAGAAACTCTCATACAAGCATAAAGCCAAAAAGGCTAACCAGTTAACAAAAACAAAAAGAACAATTGTCAAAAGGGAGAAAACTCAAAACACATAACAATAACGACAATCTAATTGAAACAATGCATTCGACCAAAAATGCAGAGAAGAACCTTTAGAGCTCTCACCAGAGAACAAAAAATAGTTAAAAAATTCACATATCGGCGTCAAACAATCAAGATAGACAATCATGAAAGTTATAAATCAACCAAACCGTGAATCAGATAACAGCAAATACAAAGCAATTTCTTCACCAAAAAAAAGAAGTAGCGAAAAGGAAATGTTACCAACCGATCTGAAAATAGACCGTGAAATCTTGACGAATCGCTTTCACAATCCTCAGAAGAATAACACACTCGAGCTCAAATGGAAAGGAGGATTAGGGTTTGAGAGTGCAAATGCAAGCGAAAAGGAGCGAATTATTAGCCGAAGCGGAAGGAGAGAGCGAGTGTGTGCGTGAAGAAAACCAGAAGCTAAGCAAGTTTCTTCACTGACAATCTTCTTTTCCTTTTTCTTGTTTGGTTACTTTCTCTCTCTCTCTCTCTCTCTCTCTGATTGTGCGAAGAACAGAAAAAGAGAGAGAGATGGAAAAGAGCGAGAAAAACACAGACCGAGACTGCAAACAAAATCCAAAAACACGGTTGATGCGGACGCGGAGTGCCGCCAAGTCTAGTGCGTGCGTATATAACAATCGTATGGCTCTACCTGAATGCCCTTGATCTTTCGTTTATTTACTACTTTACCCTTTTGCCAGGTATATCATAAATTTTATGGATTTAATAAATTAATCAAATTTGCGGATTTTTAAATAATAACCCAATTAGTAGTGGTGCTTATCCGTGACATGATTAAGAGTGGGGTCTAAATTGAAATAGATTAATGTTGTTTTAATTTATTAATTTAATTTTTAAATATTCTACTTCAATTCATCCATTTTATTTTAACTCAAAATATATTAAAAATTAATTTTTTAATTTAAAAAATTTATTATAAATGAAAATCTATTCAAATTATGTATGAAATGAGTACCAACTTAATTGTGTACTTTTTTAATTATATTTCTCTTGATTTAGTTCTATCCAATTTGGTTTATTATCTCATTAATTAATAATCAAAACTTTAATTTTTATATTATCATTTGATTAAGTTACTCAAGTTGGAATTTTTTTTATTTTTCTTCTAATCCAATTTACAATTCTAAAACCATATAGGGAATAAATTAAAGAATTTTATAAATTCTATTTATAAATTTACATTTAATGTAATTAAAATACGATAAAAAAAATTATTACTAAAATAATTAAAATTATAACCCTATATACGACTCAAAATTCTAAAGGTAAGATAGGAGTAGCTTGGTTATTAGAACTTAAAAAGAGGGGCATTTTGGGGAAAACAAATTGAAGTGGCTGAAACATGCATTGGCAAAAGCATATATTTAAGGCACTAAGGGAGTACTATGCCTGAAAGGCGGGAAATCCGCAACGAGCCATTTACAGGGCGACATCTGTCAACATCACGTCGAATCCTCCGAAGAGAATCTTAACCGTACACGTGGAAAGATCCAAAATTTTCGTCTGCGTCCTCGAGCAATTTTGGTTTTGGTGGTTGATCAAGATTGGTGCTTTCTTGGACGTCTTAATTAACTCCAGCAACAGCAGCGATTAACCCAATCCACCTCCAGATTAAATCTCAGCCGTCCACGTCCTCATCGTAAAAAATCATTACTAAATTCTCCATATTACTTGTAGAGCTGACCTTATTTTATTAATTTTTTAGAAATTAAATTAATTGAAGAAACTTCTTCAAACTTCAACAAGCAAAACTACAAACCATAAAATAATTGGAAGTTTCTAACTTCAACAAGCAACTACAAACCCTAAAATAATTCTTCAAACTTCAACAAGCAAAACTACAAACCATAAAATAATTGGAAGTTTCTAACTTCAACAAGCAACTACAAAGCCTAAAATAATTCAAAGTTCAATATATTATTTCATTAAGCACGATAACGTTAGACTTTACTCTTAACAAAATAAATATTTTATGACAGCTAAATTATTACAGAGGAGATAAATAAATCGGGTTTTTATCAAACCCAACATTTCATCTTTTGGTTCATAATAGGTTAAAAAGCAAGTTAACCAAAAACACCAATCTTTGTCCCTTATCCAAGATAATGTCTTTTTTTCTGGGCATGCATGGAATCTAGATAAACAAAATTAGGTCCACCCTATCCCCCCCCCCCCCCCACTATTACATTGCATGAGAATATGGCATGTTCATATCCATCCTTCTATTTTTTTTAAACATGGGGGAAAAGCTTTCCTGACTTTAATAATAATAAAGAAAGAAAGAGAAGCCAACATACACATATCAACATACATTCCAATCAAGTAGGTTTGAATTCATATCTATCTTTCAATATTTTAACCAAGGGGGCAAAGTTTTTCTCACTTTACAAAGATAAAACACAAAAAAAAAAAAAAAAAAAAAAACAGAAGCTAATACAGTAGCATACGTGGTAATCAAGTTGGTTTCAAGAGTTCGAGTTGAATTATTATGATTTTGAAGCATTTGAGTACTGAAATTTTCAATCATTCAAAAATCAGGCCGGTTCGGGTTTTGGGTCCTTTCGAATTATGGCTATTGAATCCTGTTCCTCTCCTTACAAACAAAATTAGGTCATGTTTTCCTCCTTAACAAGTTGAACTAATCCTGACCGACCAAAGAGGGACATCTTTCTACTATTGTGCTCTTCTAATATTTGTAAATTCCTATATTAAAAACACTACCAGCCCAACAGTTTTTTGAGCCGAATCAACTGATCATCAAAAGTTTAAGCTTATGTTTGATATCTTGAGCCCCTACATATGGGACATACATCACTAATCAGTCTAATGTATGATTGGGTATTACATAAATTTTTATCTCAAAATTTGGCAGAATGTGTATGGACCGTTGGCAATATAAACTCCTTTAGATCAACAACTATTTGTTAAACTATCTAGACAGGAGTACCGTGGAATTGCAAACTTATAGCATCAATTTCCGTTTTGCAGGCTCTAATGAAACTAGATTCAGGATTTACACTAAGAATCATCATAAATGCAATGTAACAACATGGCTAGGTTGAGGGTGGGGTTGCTGCCATCAAAAATTGGAAGGCTCTGTCCCGCTAAAAGCTGTCTTTTTCTTCAGAAAACAGAAAAATATAAAGATGAAAGTGAATTAGCTAAAACACAAACCACTGTACTGTCAACATCCAGTTCCGGGAGTGCTTATTCACTTAAGGGGCATATGGCTTTCACTCTCAATGATAGATGACCTAAATCTCACCAATTCAAGAAGTCTAAGCGGGCTAAGTTGGATCTGCCTACAAGAGATAAGTACCTAACTTGCAGAAGTCGTCTTCCCCGTCTGAAATTTAGATGCCTGCATCTTGAAAACTCTATATTATCCTAAGGCACTGTTAAGAAATCAAAATATAACAACTATTTTCAGCAGGACAGCAGCAAATCATAATTGCTGTGTCACATTTATTTTTTTAATTGTTTTATCTGGCCTCCTTGTTTCATTTCCGGTTCTTACTTTTGCGCTGATTATCACTATAATCAAGAGAATTCAATTCAACAGGTTGGCAAAAAAGTTGCTATATTCAGCAATATCCAGATTTCAGAAACAGCATTCATGAAGACAAACCAAATTTCAAGCCGCTCAAAGGCTGATGTCTACAATCAGAGATTCTCAAAGAACCGCATATGATCTTCAAATGTCTCTCCATGCCGAATTTTGGCCACTGATCCATCTTCTTCAACCTGAAAATACAATTTAAAATTTCCAGAACTTAATTTCTTGTGAACCAACAATAAATGGAATCAGAAGTAGTAACCAGAATGGTAACTTTCAATAGAATCCTTTATAAATGCTTCGCATATGGGAAGAATAAGAAGAATTTGTAAATTGTTTGATGATATCTTACCCCCAAAAAAAACTATATTATGGTAGATTGGTTATCTTTTTTTTTTTTGGTGTTTATCATTATCTTTAAGTTGATTATAAGCACAAAATCAACAAAACAGTTATTTAGGAAGTCAAGTGCTTAAATTCATCTTAGGATGTTAGGTGTTTGAATTTTTCTCATTCAAACAACCACTTATCCAGGTAGCAGTTGACTATTTCTTATGTATTGTCTATACAATGTTGTTTTGGAGGGAATAAAATTATGGACATATACTTTCTTACTCAAGAAATTGTTAGATTCTCTCTCAATAAGCCTAAAACTTACCTGAAACAAAATAGGTCATAAAGGAAGTGGCAGAGAAATTCTGCAGCTCTTTTCTCTCAGTATCTAGGCCTATAACCAGATACATAACAGGGAAATATACCATACTTTCTCTAGCAAAATATTCCATGGAACAGAAACATCCTGAACTTAGAATGAGTATAACATAAACGTAAAATACTCTACCCAGTACTCTGGAGGACGCATCTTGAGATTGTATGTAGATGCCATGCTCATGCAGTAAGCACCTGCATCATGAACAACCAGGCCAGCTCCCTGAAAAAAAGAGAAACTCCTGATCAGATATATATTTGCTCCAACCATCCAATTAAAGAGACTCTATCTTTTTTCTTAAAATTCTTTAATGGATATAACAGTTACCTTAGCTGGGGTTGGAAGTTTTCTCTCCTTTCCTAAGAAGTCCGCAGACTCACAAACAGGACCAACCACATCAAATGTAGAAACTTCAGCATCAGATGATGTAGGAGAAACCAGTTCTATATGCTGCAGCACAGTATAAGTGAGCCAGTGAAATCAATAATGGCAAGGAGGATACCCAAGTCAACAATGCAAAATTGAACTGTATATCGCCACTTTCGCTTTCATTAGACAATAAATCTGGACATAAAGAGATATATGTTGCACGTTGCTTTCAAGCACCAACACAGGTATGCTCTCGCACATTACAAGCATCATAGTTTACTTTAGATTACCCGATAAAGTACTAATATTACAAGCACCATAATGATGGAAGTACTACATTACAACAACCAACAACCAGTAACGTAATTTAGTTAAATACTTACTTGATAAGCATCATACAAACTGGGACGTATAAGTTCAGCCATGCTGCCATCAATGACAATGAAGTTTTTGGTTCCATTTGTTTTAACGCCAGTGACCCGGTTAACCAAGCAGCATGTATTCGCAATAAGTGATCTCCCAGGTTCAATTATAAGATTAAGGTCTCTTGAAAGAACAAGCTCCCTCACCTGGAAACAAGCCCAATAAATTAAAATCTTAAACTATTTTTAAGAATTTATCATAGTTATGCTTATTAATCTTACAAAAGATCTCACTAAATGAAGCTGAACACGATATAACAGGAAAAGCTGTTTTGATGTAGTAAAGGACTTCAAATCTCTATCTTATATAAAATATAAGGCTATAAAACCTTAAACTATTTTTCAAAATTTATCATAGTTATGCTTATTAATCTTTCAAAAGATCTCACTAAATGAAGCTGAGCACGATATAACTGGAAAAGCCGTTTTGATGTAGTAAAGGGCTTCAAATCTCTATCTTATATAAAATATAAGACTATAATGCTGTTAGTGAGAGACATGTCATGACTCCAGATTGAGAAACCCCTTCTATTAAATGCAGCATCTTTCGGCTTTTTGCCCACTCCACCGAAAATGGGATCACTTTGTTCCTTTAACTATCAAAGCAACCCATTTCTGAAAACACAGATTTTCTCTTTGTGAAAAACATCTTCACATTCTCTTTCTCCCCTCATTAATGCAAAATTATCCCATCCTTTGGGTTTTTTTCTCATTTTTCATTTTTTCTCATACTTATTTTTTGTGGATCCTTTCTATTTGGTTTTGGATCCAAGTTTGTGATCATGTAATAAATAACACAAATTTAACAACTCTAAAATAAAATTCAAATGTCAAAGATCAGAGTAGTCGTTTCGTAAATGCAGAATGCATCAGTTATCTTAGGAATTTTTCTATCAAATGGGAAATATCTAGGAATTAGACTACAATCCTTAGGCCTATTATGTTATCTGTCAGATGTGTGCAGACTCTGCCATGAACGTAACAAGCCTAAAGAATTTTTTATTTTCAAATTACCACATAGTTCTCACGTGAATAACGACAAATTTTGTGAAAAGAGAAGAGAAGGTTTACTGTGTCAATAAGATCTTTGGGTGTGGGAAGCACAGCACCACTATGATAATAATCAATCCCTAAACCACCTCCAATGTTTAAATAATCAACTTCGAATCCTTGAGATCGAATTTCATCAATGTACTTCACCATAATAACTGCAGCATCTCTAAATACGTCCACCTGAAAAGCATAATATACCAATAAGGCATCATAGAGCCATCAACTTATACTTACAGAGGAAACATTTGTGCATTACATATCTTACAGATAAAGACAACAATCAATCATATTTTGATAATATATTAAAGAAACAGAAGACATAATATTAAAAATAATAATAATAAAACGTTGAATAGGAGAATAGAAACTGCCAATGACTGGATGGAACAGCTTGAAAAAACGTGTCCATTTGCAAAAAGCTTCCTACATAATATTCATGTGAATATTCCCTTTATAAGGGGGAAGATATGACCATTACATATGACATACAGCAGCAAGGGCAAATCCAGTTAAGAAGTTCTTTTTGTATAAACATACTAATTTATGTCTTCTCTTCACAAAAACAAAGTAGTATTTGCAGTCACTTCATTAGTTTTTTTAAAAAAAGAAATATCCCTAAACTTATCCAATAGAAACAAAATACTGCTGATCATTGTCATTGAGTAAGAAAAAATCATCATCCTTGCCAAAATGAACAATATGATAGTTCAAAGCACAAACGTATACAAGCAATGCATTAGATTAGGCTATTAGCACCATCTAATGCACCTCATTCAAGATTCATCTTATAACAGGTATCAAAAGATGGAAGAACATTGATTGTCACTAAGATACCTTTGTAATAGTCGAACCAAGATGACAATGAGCTCCAACAAGTTTCAACTCACTAGGATATGCCTTCACAGCATCCAGAAACCATTGCAGCTTCTCATTCCTAATGCCAAATTTAGAGTTCTTGTTTCCTGTAGCAACATATGGATGAACCTACAGAAGGAACACATGAATAATATGCACACAGATGATTGCCACAATGAAGAAGATGTATTTAACTTGATATTTAGAATTATAAAGCTTATTCATTTCAAACAAACCAGATCTCTAAAAGTGTACGGCTAATATTATTCTTCATCATTGTACTCTATCTAAATCAATATTAATTTTTATTCTAGATTCATAGTTTCTTCCTACAACCTCATAAAAGCACATAGTTTTGTGTCAACATGAATTAACTTCAACTAAGACTTGAGCACTATTAGATCTTCATTTGCTGCAAAAAAGAAGAAAAAATCAACAACCTTAGATATAAATAGCAAAAATAGACCACCTCGGTGAATTAAGAATGCATGTGAAAAATGTGTGAAGATCAATAACCTTCTGCTGAGAGTGATTGCAAAGCACTGGTTGTGATTTAAACAAATGCAGCAGCACATAGCAGAAAGCCAGGCATAACAGTGAAGGCAGTGACAGTGCAATATGGGGGGTGGAATGCCATGAAAGTGGGGTTATCATATGTTAAAGGTAGTTAGGAGTGGTGGTTTGCCGAAACTTAAAAACACAAATCATAAAGCACAAGTAACTCAATGCAGTCCGGACAAATTGTGGATCTATAATGATGGCAGCACCAGGGACCTTTTTCAAATAAGAGAAAGGACCATATTATTGCCTCAGATTTTACAGGATTATAGACGTGACTGGTTCCCTTTTCTTGATATCTGTAACAACCCCGGAAAATATTAAAAAGAAATGAATATTTAAATATATCGAATGCGGAAGCGAGATCAAAATTTCAGTTAACATCCCTTACACGAAAAACCAAAAACGTACTTAAAATATAAAAGGTTAAACTAACTAAGAAAGAAAACTCGAAAATAAACTATGCGTATGACTACAGAGTCTCTAGGCATCCCCTTCGTCGTCCTCCTGCGGAACGGGCTCGGGAACCATGTCTTCCTGATCTGAAATGGTTAATTAAGGAGTGAGCTACACTAGCCCAGTAAGAACATCACGATATCTCACCGTCACGGAGATAAAGGTGGGTAGAAAACCACAAAAAG